TTCCCCTTTAAAGCGCTAGTAGTATTTTTTTGTATTTCCTCAATATCTGGCGACTCTCACGTGTACTCTCTGCCTATGTGTTTGTGAATATAAATGTACTTACTATCCATTTCCACTCTTCCTCTCACACCTGTTCAGTCTGCATGTCTACCCATAGATCATCATTATTGCAAAATTGTGTGCATAACAATATTTCCTTTGGCTGCCTTTAACTATTGCCTCCTTTCCAGGATCTTCCCCTGCCTCGGTGAGGGTGGCTGACTTCCCCCTTAATTGTATATTGCCTTCTCCTTTCCCTAAGTTAGTACATATGTATATACCCACTAGTCAGTTGTTTATCTTCTCTTTTCTATGTATAGGATCATATCATCAACAAATAGAGAGAGCTTTGCTTCATCTTTGCCAATGTGAATGGCTTTTATTTCCATTTATTACCTTATAACCCTCATCTGCTACATACTGTAATTTTTTTTCACATACTGTAAATTAAGAACAATGTTGAGAGCATCTGTTCTAGAGAGAGTATCTTACAGATTTAAAAAAAATCAAACATATTGTTTTGTATATAGTAATTGCTATAGAACATAGTAATTGTCCATAGTAATTGCAATCTCATACATGTTTTATACACAGTAATTGCTCAACATTTGTTTACTGAATCATACTATATAATAGATGGTGTAGCGCCATTATAATAGGAACAGCCAAACCTGGAGTAAAAAGTCACCGCTGAAATTTTCATAAAAATATAAATCATATATAAGATGTAACTGTAAGATACATTTGTGTACTAAGTGTAGTCTCTCCATTCATTCTGCATTTACTGGATGTCCATGATGTGCCAGGCCCACAGGACACAAAGATGGACAAAGTAAGATATTCCCTTCCAGCTACTCACAGTCTAATGGAGACAGCAGACCAGTGAATGACAAATGGCAAAACAACGTGATATGAACTCTTTGATTGGTCTAATTTTTCTTTCCACCTCTCACGACTAAGGAGCTGGGAATATCTTTGTGAGGTGGAATGCAGAGGCAAAGGTTGGTTAGTGTAGAAAGAATCTGAAAGATTTAGGTCTGTCTGCCTACACTCAGGAAACTATCCTGTTTTAGGAGCCCCGGGGGAGCCCAGGTGGCCCTGTCCGGTAAGCATTGGTCCACTAACCACAAAGTTAGTGGTTCAAATCCATCAGCCATGCCGTGGGAGAAAGTTGAGGCTGTCAGCTTCAGAGACTTTATTATATTGGATCACTAGGAGTCACAGGCAATTTGCTAGCAATTTTTTTTTAAAGGGATAATGGGCACAGCCTAACAATTGTGAGGACGGTACTTGCTTCACTGTAGGTAGGGTCACTACAAGTCAGAGCTGGTACCTAAAACAGGACCAGATCCAGGAGTCTCTGTGCCAGTGGCCTCACGACGGAAATGGGGATGCGGTCTGTACCGAGCAACACTGTCAGAGAGGGAGATGACAAGGTGACTATCTGTAAATTTGGCTGTGGCACCTCAGCAGAAATTTACAGTTTTTAAAACGCAAATGTCCCAGTAGTTAGTTATCACAACAAAACATTGTTCCTAAGGTCAGCCTCTGTGTACCACTAGGCCCACAAGGCTGATACTCTAAGCTGATTTATTTTTTGAACCTTCTCATGTGCTCCGGTCAGAGCTGTCATTGTCACTCAGTGACCAGGATGTTTCAGATCACGTGACTTTGCACACACTATAAGCACACTCTGTTGTTTTCGTGCTGCTGGTATTCTTAATAGTCACTGAATTTGTCAGATTTCCTGGTGTTTCAGCAACCGTATTGTGGTAATTACTAGCTGTGAATCTATGCCCCTAGCTTTTCTGGAATGCAGTAGTATTTCAGGAAAAGGAGAAGGAAAAAAAGAGACTTCCACTCAGTGATTAGTAATGTTGCAACTAATGATATAATTCAATGTAGAAAGATTTTACAAACACAATGTTGCTGTTGATCTAAGAAATATTACACTCAAGCCATTTACAACTATATTGATCACATGTTAATTCTGTGATAAACATTGACATCATGAAAGATTTGTTTGATCTCATTTGGGAGGTGGTTGATGAAGAGGGATGTGACACTAAACCTTGTGACTCCACTGCTTAAGAGGAGCGGCGATCCAAGTTAACATGCTTGGATGCTAAGCGAAAGGCCACCAGTTTGAGTTTACTGGAAGGCGCCTCAGAAGAAAGGCCTGGGAATCTACTTCTGAAACTCAGCCACTGAGAACATTATAGAGCCCAGTTCTACCCTGAGACACACGTGGTCACCATCAGCGGGAGTCAAATCAACGGTACCTGGTGTAAGAGACTTGGGGCACTCTTAGGATGAAAGAGTTGAGAATGGAAGATTGACCCGGAAGGTGGGAGGGTGGGAGAAGACCAGAGAGGGGGTGATGAAAAGAGAAGAGGAGGTGAACGCTTGGGTTTCCACTAGAGCAGAATCTGTATGAACTGAGGGGAAAATAAAGAAACTTTATCAGTGTCGTCACTGCCCTGTAAGGAGCTTGTGTGTTACGTTCTCAGATGTTGGGAGCATGAATGACCGCTAACTCTCAAGTGGACTTGTGCTCAGCATTTCATGTGACAGAAACAGGAGGAGGTGCCCAGTGCAGGCTGTGCGAAGGGAAGGGGAATTCACAACTTGTTCGGGCACAGTGTGTCAAAAGAAACTGACAATGAAGGTACCTCTAAAGCCGTTTCAATATCCCCTGCCCCGCCTCCACCACAAATCACACAATTCAATAGTTCAATCATATTAAGAAAAGTTGTACAGTCATTACATAATCAATTTTAGAACATTTCCTTCTTCCTTGTACAGTAGAACCCCAGACCCTGACGCTCAGCTGTTCTAGAAGGAGCATCAACATGCAATGTTGTTGAGTTCCGAATCAATGTTTCCCGTAAGAAATAACTGAAAATGGATTAATCCGTTCTCAACCACCCAGTTTTTACTCTAACCTTGCCCTTTTTAATAGAAAACATTACACAGAAACTTCAAAGTAAATAAGCTTGGAGTTAAAGAATATAATTGAAATAAGAAACACAACATTAAAAAAGTTTTTAACAACTGCAGTATGGCCCATACCTTGAGATTGATGAGGATCTGCATCTGTGGACACGGATGTGGAGAGGAGGTCTGGAGAGTCATTGTTTGGGAGGGGAATCACAAAATCCACAAAATCAACTGGTAGCTGCTTTTCAGGAGTTTTTTTCCCCCTTCTTTGCCTTTTTTCACTAGGACCTGGCTGGCTTTCTTTAAAAACAAACAAACCTGTCTACGGTGGTCTGCTGTTGGCGTTTCCTTAACTGTTTTCTAAAAGGGTTTTACTAAATTATCATCAACAATATCGATAACGTGATTAACCAGGTCTTTATCATGATGATTCTTTTCATAAAACTCTTAGGACCCATGTTTTTTTATCTGAAAGCAGTACCAAAAACCCCACAAAAACTAAGAAAATCATAGCAAAACACTTGGAACACAGCTGCAAAATGTTTTAACAACGGGTACTGACAACGCCAACTAACGCCGAGTGGCTGAAACAAGAACTGATTTTGTTGACAAAAATCACGTGCGTCGGGTCAGATTCCGATGTTTCGTTTCAGCTCCGATGCATAATTTTCTCGACATTTCAATTCAAAATCTGATTATGTCGAGTACTGATGTGGTCGAGTACCGGGGTTCTACTGTACTCCTTGTTATTAGTGTAATTATTTTTTTTAATTGTGGCAAAAAATATGCACAATAAAACATTCTCCAATTCAACAACTTCTATAATTCAGTGCCATTAATTATACTCTTCAAATTGTGAACCATTATTGATATCCTTTTCCAAATTATTCCACAACCATTAACATAGACTTAATGCTGCCTAAGCAAAAACTTTTCCTCCTTCACCCATGGTAACCATTGGTCAACTCTGGTTCCTTTTAGTTTTCTTGATATAAAATTTACATATCATACACTTCCATAGATAAGTCACTATTTAAAAGAGGTGCATACACATCATCACAATCAGTTTAGTGCTCCCTCCCCACTCTGCATTTATTGCTGCTCCCCAATTTCCACCCCCTCTACCTTACACTGTCCCCAATAAACCATTACATCAATTGTTGTCTCTATGCACCCACTCCTTCTGTGCTTCATAAACTGGGAAACCTAACAGAAACTGTAAAAACCCAAACCAAAATGAAATGGAAAAAAAAATAATATAAAGATAAAAATAAAGAGTAAGAACGAAAAGAGCATCAACAACATTTAAAAAGGCAGAGAAGGGATTACTGTCATGGAACAAGCAGGACATATTTGGGCCTAGAGAAAACTCAGGTTGAGTCATGAGGGAGGTCAATTGAGTAAGCATCATATTATACCATGGTTCGATCCACCATGATCAAGTTTGTAGTAATCCCTGTTTGAGAGTAAAGCTCTTTGAGTCCCTCACCTGTGGCCAGAGGTACCTGCCAGATACTTCATCTGATTAGGTACTCTGCAGGATTTGGGGCTCCCACTGTCCTCCATAGTCTTCTATAAAAGGGTGTTCACAATTTAAGATTTGATACATGTCCCTTCATCATATGTGGATTTTATTATCGTCATCTTTGGACTCCCCAGGCTGGTATGCTTCTTCACTGTGGACTTAGCTGATGCCTCACTTACATGCTGCTTGTTTGAATATAAGCCTTTAAAATCCCAGACACTATTCAAATCGATAGCCGGGCACCATCTGCTTTCTTTACCATACTTTGCTGTAGCACCCATATCTTCAGTGATCTCTTCATGAAGGTGAGTACTGAGCAGGGCCATATTATAAGAACTAACTGTTCTTGGATCGGGGTTAGAATTAAGTGGGAGCCCAGAATCCATCTGCTTTTCCACAGGTTGTAAATGACTCTGGTTTACTTTGGGGGTCATATTATGACAAAAACCAAAACCAACAAGAACAACAACAACAACAAAAAAACAACCCCCCCCCAAAAACAAACAAAAATGAAAACAAAGGGAAAAAAACACCCCAAAACAAAACAAATAAGAAAAACATTGTCAACCACCCCCTTGGGGTAAAAGGCGACTGCACTGATAACATTAATAATTTGTCCAGTGGCATAGAACTTAAGGCACTGTTGATATGAGAAATTTATGTGAGTATAATCCAACAGTGCAAGCTGTAATCCATGAATTGCTGCTTTGTCCAATTGATTTCTCAACTGATTGAGCTCTGTGTGCATTGAGCATCAGGGTTGGTGCTAGGGTGAAATTTACCCTAACATTTCTTACGAGGGCAGGTCCTTGCTTATAAGATTAAAACCTGTCATATTAACACAAGGGAGCATTGCAATACTAACTATGTGGCAATTCTGGGTGCCCTTTCATTGGACACCCACTAGGCCAGGGGTCCCACCCAAGATCCATCAACCGCCATTTCCACAGTCTTGGGAGGGCCATCCATTGCTGCCTTTTCCATCAGGGAGTTTCAGTCTAAGTCCAAGGCCCAGTTTGTTCAGTCGGGCTTCCATGTCAAGTCCTTTCGGTGTGGCCCCTGGGGGATGCCATGTTCCCTGTAAGGCGAGAGTCTAAGGTCATCATAGTCCATACCATGGTTCACCAAGAGTTGGGTGGAAACTTATTCAAAGTGTTTACTCAGGGACATAGAACCGGTTTTATTCTCCCTTTAGGTTCCCTACAATTATTGTGTAGCTTCTCTTCTTGATGTGAGGTTTCCTCCCCATGTACCCACCATTCCCACCAATAAAAATATCAGCATCTCCTCTGACATGTAGATGCTTTCCTCCCCTGGTCTTAACTTGATTTCCCAGTAAGGCTCTCCTTTCATTGCTGTGAACGGCCTGTTGGCCATTGGTTTTGTCTATATGTTCTTAATTCTGTTGTGCAGTTTCCTTTTACCCCTATTTTGTTAAGTTTTGTTTATCAGGAATGGGTGTTACTTTTGTCAAATGCCTATATTGCATTAATCACCAAGGTCATGTGGTTCCTTTCCTTTGCTTTATCTTTTTGGTGGATTAGGTTGATTGTTTTTCAAATATTGAAAGCATATCTTCACCTACCCAGCATGAATCTCACTTGGTCATGATACAGTGTTTTAAATATATAGTTTTGGATTTGATTGATTAGGATTTTGTTGGGAATTTTTGTATCTATGCTTATGAAGGATACTGATCTATAGTTTTCTTTTTAGTGATGTCTTCTTTCCTGTTTTTGGTATCAGTGTTAGGCTTATTCTATAAAATGAATTTGGGAGATTTCCATTCTTTTCCATAGTCTTGAAGAGTTTGAGTAGAATTTGTGTAGGCTATTGAAGCCATATATATATATTTATTGTGTTTGTTGGGAGTTTTTTAATCATCTAAACAATCTTCTATGGATGTATTCAGATGTTCTACATCAGTTCATGCTGGTTTAAGTAGTGTATTTTTAGAAATTTGCCCATTTCTTCTAGGTTTTAATATTTGTTGGAGCATCGTTCTTCATAGTATTCTGTTATTATTCTTTTTATTTTTGTTGGTTCTATTGTGATGTGCTTCATTTAATTTCTCATGTTATTTGTATCGTCTTCATTCCCTTTGTTAGATTTGCCAGTGATTTGTCAATTTAGTTAACCCTTTCAAAGAACCAATTTCTGGTTGATTCTTTGTCCTGATGTTGTATTTCATTTATTTCTACTCTAATTTTTATTACTTCTTTTATACTGTTGACTAGACTTATTGTGCTGCCTTTTTCTAATTGCTGGATTAAGGTATTGATTTTAGCTCTTTTTTCATGTGTGCATTTATCGCTATAAACAGTCTTTTGGAAACTGCATTGTCGCAAAAGTTTTGGTATGTGGATGTTTTAAATTTCAGTTTTTATTTCTTATATTACCCAGTAGTTTTAAAATTTTAATTATTTATTTTTTACCCAGTAGTTGTAAAGCAGAGGATTTTTTAATTTCTATGTATTTAAATTCCTTTCTTTGATGTTCCTATTTTTGATTTCTTATTTATTGCATTATGATATGAGAAGATGCTTTGTAGAATTTTAATGTTTCTTGATTTATGTAGGCTTGCTCTTTGGCTTATATGTTCCGTGTGCCCCGGAAAAGCAGGTGCATGGTGGTGGTGGGTGGAATGTTCTGTACATGTCTATGACGCTGCCACGTTGTTTGTGTTGTTGAGTTCTTCTTTGTCTCTATTGAGCTTTTTTCTAGTTTTTCTGTCCTTCAATGAAGATGGTATATAAACTCTCATATGATTACTGTAGAATTGTCTATTTCTCTCTTCAACTCTGTTACAATTGATGTATTTTCCAGTGGGTGTATAGATATTTATTATAGTTATGTCCTCTTGTTCAATTTTCTCCTTAATCAGTCATTATCTAATATTCCTTCTCTTTTGCTGGATTTTGTCTTAAGGTCTATTTTATCAGAGTAATCCTGCCAAATTAATACAACCACTCCTGCTCTTTTTTGATTGCCGTTAGCTTGCTATATTTCCCCATCCTTTGATTTTTGTACTTTGTTTGCCTTTGTGTCTAAAGGTGTCTCCTGTAGCTAGCGTAATCATGAGTCCTATTTTCTTATCTGTTCTGTTACTCTAACTTTTGGCATGCATTTAATCCTTTTATTCCTGTGTAACTATCAAAAGCATAAATTAATAACTGCCATTTGGTTGTGGTGTGTTAACTTTTTGTGTGCATGTGGTGTTGTTGGTTTCACTGTTCCACAGAACTGTCCTGTCCTCTGTTCATTTTATTTGTGAGGTTTCTTGTTATTTTCTTCAATGCTGTTGTTTTAGTGTTTATCAAATTTTTGTGACTTTCCTCTTTTTTATTTTGAGGATAAGGACTATTCACTTTCTTTGAAGTTACCATGTAGTTTACTAATTTCCATCCAAGTTTAAAGCAGTCAGATTTTGAAATTTACTTGTTGTCTCCATTTGGAAATTATATAGGTACACTATTCTTTTTTACATTTGTAATCGTCTTTACAAATTGCTATCTCTGGTTCCCTATTTTAAGTCTTGTGGGTTGTTTTACTTAGGGTACTTGTAGGTTGTTTTACTTCCCTATTGGGGGTGACATCTAGGTGAGGTTGTCAGGCATGTTAATTTCAGGCTGTTGTCTATTATGTGGGTTCTCTGCCCAGAGAACTTCCTTTAGCATTTTTTGAAGGTTGATCTCCCCGAATCAGACTCACTGCCATTGAGTCAATGCTGATTCATAGCAACCCCCTGTCGGCTTCTGAAACTGGTTGATCGAGTTTTTCACAAAGTCCTTTAATTTCTGTTTATGTGGAAATGTCCTGATTTCATTGTCATGTTAAGGGACATTGTCATATGAAGGGACAATTTTGCTGGTTATATGACACTAGGTTGGCAATTTTTTTTCTTCAGAGTTTTATATATTTCACTCCAATGCCTTATGCCTGCAATTTTCTTCAGGCTTATTGGCTCCTTCTGTAGGTAATGTCTCATTTTTCATAAACTGTTTTTAGGATTCATTAGTTCCTTGTCTTTGGATGTAGAAAGTGTGGTCATATGCTCTGGTGGTTTTTTTGTGGTCTATCTTGTTTGCGGTCCATTTATCACTCCATCTTTCATGTAATTAGGGGAGTTTATTTTCCCCCAAAAAACTTTCTCTGTATTTTTGTTGTTTCTTACTGGGATTCTGGGGTTCTGATCACACATAAGATGTTTCTTGTGATGGCATGCCATGTAATTTTTAGGGTTTCTTCAAGTTTTCCATTCTGTTTTTGGACTCAGCAAATTGATATCGAGAGATTTGTCTTCAAGTTCAATAATTTGTTCTTCCACTGATTCAATTTTGCTCTTTTGTTCTCGCAATGTACTATTTCTGAAATCTTAGTATTACTTTTCTGGATTTTTATTTACTGTTTTGCATAGTTTCTTAGTTTTCATTTATTTTGTCAGTTTATTCTTGCAGGGGTTTCCCGATTCTTCTAAGGTTTCCTTGGTGTTATTTGCAGTTTCTCAATCTATTTTTTTAAAGTTCATTGAAGGTACCTAAATATAATTTTTTAAAAAATCCCTTATCAGATAGCTCTAATGACATTTCTTTTAAAGAAGTTCTGATTATGTATTTTGGTGAGTAAACCTATCTTCAGTGTCTGAACTAAAACTGTATATTGTCTCTAAGACATTGTGGTGGTGTTTGAGTATATGTTGGTATGTTCTTAGGCACTCACAACTTCTTTCCTGTTGGGTGTGATAGAGAATGTGAGTGTGTGCACAATTCTCTGTTTATTGTTTGAGTAGCATATGTGAGGGTGGGTTTGGCTGGTGTTGATCGCTGCCTTTTGATGATTAGAGAATATAGAATTAGTTCCCTATTTTAAATCTTGTAGGTTTGTTTTACTTACGATACTTCTATATCTGGGTTGACTTGTAGGTGATGTTGTCAGGTATGTTAATTTCAGGTTGTTGTGTACTAAGTGGGTTCTCTGCCCAGAGAAATAGAGTAGTGACCTTTGCCAAACATGAGGACCTGCAAGAGATAGGGGTGTGGCTCGGCTATGTGGGCACAGTTGCTGTTTCACATCCAGTGAGACGGGAAAGAAAAAGTGAAAAACTAAACTACACTTAAACAGGAATCAGCAATAATAATAGTGAAGAAAAAAACAAGTGGGAGGAAGAATGCTTGTAACAGCCAGAAGGAAAGAATTTAATAACTTAAATGGAAATAAAGAGTCAAGTAAAACAGGTAAGGAAAAGAATTAAGAAAACAAAGAGAGAGAAGAGAGTCATAAAGAAAACACTAAGAGAAAAGAGAGGAGAAAGAAATTTAAGTAAGAATAAAGGAAAAATATAAGAAAAGAAAGAAAAAGGAGAGAGATGAAAGATAAAAACAAGGCAAAGGGGAAAAAAAGTGAGAAAAACGAGGAAGGGGCAGGTCCCAGGCAGGAGAAAGCTGTGGTGGCCAAGGAACCTGATGTGGGCTGGTAAAGGTTGCCGTCTCAGGGGCTAGTGGGATGCATTCCTTTCTCTGCAGCTCAGGGTTCCAGGGTTATCATCCGCATCTGTTTCATTCTCTCTCTAGTGTCTTGATTGTAGACTGTGTCGTGTGCCTGCCTAGTCTGCCTTCTTGCTAGAAGTCTCCCAGTAGTTTCTTATTAAATAACAATTAGTCAGTTACCATGATGGTTCTTACCCTGGATGGATTTAGGGGCACAGGAAGCTTAGCTCAGTGCTGAGCAAAAGATTTTCCTTTTGAGGATGAGGAGAAAAAGAAACGCCGAGCTGAGCTGTCTTCTTGAGGGATCGAGTCCACAGGTGACAGAAATTTGTAATACTCATCTTCCCCATCAAGCAATTTGATTTGTCTGCAATAATAGCAACAACAAAGAGAGAGAGAGAGAGAGAGAGAGAGAGAGAGGAGGTTTTCAATGGAAAAGAAAACAAATGCCAGCATTTGGTGTGACTGGAGCAGCTGCTTGAG